TGTGTGTGTGTGTGTGTGTGTGTGTGTGTGTGTGTGTGTGGAGGGCTAAAGGTTGAAACGTGTGATGGAGGAAAAGACAGCGGGGAGGAAAGAGAGGGAGAGCAGTGAGGGGTGATGGTGTCAGAAGAGGGTTGAGAGAGTCTACGTGAGCATCTGATGTTGACAGAGGCTTCAAGGAGTCAGCCAAAGGCCCCCAGTGAACTCGACCACTTGGTGTGTGTGTGCGTGCGTGTGTGTTTCTGCGTTAGTGTGCGGACATTCTATCTTCACTGTATACTGGGTCACTGTCAAAGGGAAACTGGGCTCATCATTTGTTGTTTTCTGCAACATATGTGAGCTCAATAAAAAACAACAGCTTACATTCTCTAACATACGGCTGCTGTCATGTCAGCCCGTCAGTGGATGGAGTTACACGTTCCTCCCTGGATTCAAGCAAATTTTCCTCCTGGGATCCTTTAAAGATCCTATTTGATGGATTGAAAAATACAGAGTGACACGAGGCTGAAGTTCACTCGAATGTTTTGTTGTGACTGAATAGATCCTGGACGTTTGCTCGGTTTTCTGTATTAAAATATATGTGTGTGTGTGTGTGTGTGTGTGTGTGTGTGTGTATAAAGTCCAATCTGTTTAGATCTCACGACTGGAGGTGTCATGGCCCTCGTTCACACACACTCACACAGTAGTAGAGCAGGAAGTATTTGAGCTCCATGACGCAAAAAGGAGATGTCACTAAGCCCTGTCTCATAAACTTCTGAGTCAGTAGCAGTGCAGCGATGCAGGGTTAGACGCTGTGCTCCTCTGATTTTTCCATGTCTTTCTCTCCGTCTCTGTGTCTCTACTGTTGTTTCCCCTGTGTCACCTTTCTGTCCTTCTCTTCAACTTTAACCCATTTTCTCTTCCTGTCTCTTCATAGTTTGGTTCTGGTGGACACACACAGAACACAGAACATCTACACTGTGCATGCTTCTCTTTTTTAGATTTATGAGCTGGTCCAACATCTACGACATGGAAACTACAAAATTACAAAATGCTCTTATCTCCTGCATTGGAAGTCTTGTAAAACATTCTGTGGAAGGCTGTTTCCTGTTTCAACATGACATGTGCCTCCAATGGTTCTCAAACTTTTTCAGGCGGGCCGCCCCCTTTCGAGTCCATAAAAACTGGTTCAGTCATTAATAATGTCAACGTGATAGCTTCAGAACTGTCTTGATTATTTGTTTCCCATATGAATCATATTTATTCTGTTTAGTTTCACTCCTCATTTTTCTCCTGGTCATCTGCAATGGCTCTACGCCTCTATACTCCTCACTGCTCTGAGCACAAAGTCAGGTCCTGGAAAGCACTTGATTGATCTGCACTAAACCCTGACCTCAACCTCAGCCGGAACCTTCGGGATGAGCTAGAACGCTGACGAGGAGCCAAACCAGTGTTATCAATGCATCACACCAGATGTGGAAGACACTGACTAGTCACTAGCAGATTAAACAAATAATGAATTAGCTCTAATTACATATCAAGTGCTCTATTGCATGTGGAATTAGTCATACCACACACACACACACACACACACACACACAAGCACACCAGTGCTGTTTATATCCCCAATAGAGATCTTATGGCAGTGAGAGCTTGTGTCTCATTGGCTCGGAGGCTGAGCTGAGGCCTCTGAGGTTCTCACTGATGTCATCAGTGTGGGAGCAAAACTGGAAATGCTGAGCAATGTCGACAGATGCACGCACATTGTCTGTCTTTACGCATTTGTCGCATTGTCTATATGATGACGCTCAACAACATACAACATGAGTGACTTGAGAGATGATACTGCTAAAGATTTAAACTTAAACTTTCTGGCTTTAGCTCAAACTTAACTGTTTCAAAATCCAGTCAATATTAGAACATCAACAATAAAAATAATAGCTCGGTTCTATTTACCGCAGGGATGCAGCACTGTTCTACCAGTCTGCATCTTTGAGCCTTAAAGTCAAAGTGTTTATTTAATTTACGTTTGAGTTACTGAACCAAGCTCTTTCTGAAATTGTTTAATTGCAATATCACAGCAGGATATGTGTGTGTGTTGCAGTGGCCACCCTTTACTCCACACTGGGAGGTCCAGCCATCGCTCATGGGTTGAATGAAACTGAGGTCACACACATCATCACCAGCAGAGAGCTCCTGGAAACTAGACTCAAGGTAAGAACACACACAAAATGATTCTGAAAATGTAATAACAGGAAATGTTATTATATATAAGATATAATATAACTTCTTAGCGTGTTTAATTATCTACAGGATGCCTGCTTGGTAGTCATCACCCTCTTGACTGAGTGTGTACACGTGTGGATAGTAAATGAGGATTCCCACTGTATTTACTGTGTAGAGAAACACTCCACTTGAGTCTGTGGCCTTCACAGAGGGAGCAGCTACTCTGGGTCATCTGGTGAAACCTTTGGCATTTCCCAGTCCTCCTGCGGATTTATTATGAGCTACTGTGCACGGACACTTCAGCTGTTTTGTGGTAACAAGCAAATAAGACCAAAAGTATCAAGCAGTGATAAATGGTATTTGTTGGTATTTGTAGCCCAGTGTTGTATAGCTCAGTCAGCTGTACAGCGATATCAGGTTTATAAATGGTCCAAGTCGGATATAAGAAGTCCAATATAACTTAAACCACAGATGTAAACAGAACATTACATTTTGAGAGATACAGTATTTCCTTTCACCTCAGTCTATAAAGGTTAATGCACCACATTACCCTGCAAATAAACAAAGGAAACGAAGTTAAGGATGTTTTACCCCCAATACATCACGGTCAGAAGTCTTCCAGTGGTTCCAGACTTTGACACATGTCCTCTCTTGAAAAATAATATTAAAGGCCACTGTTATCATCTGAAAGAATCCAAAACATTAGACCTGTGCTGGTAAGTGAGGGGAGAGGAGCAGTGTGATTCCACAGAGATAAATAAATAAAGCAAAGTGCTCGTTCCTGTGTGTTAAAGCCTGTTTTGGACAAGTTCAATCACTGAAGACAAATGGTGCTCTGGCATTCCATCTTCCCTTTTATCAAAGTTGCATAAACACAGCCCCTCTGCTCGCTCTTACACATCCTGGCCTCTAGACCAAATACTGATGAAGATCATGTGCATGGGATTTCTGGTTACCTGTCAAGGATGGAACCTGGTTTTCATCCTAATCTACACACAACACTTTTGTGCTTTCATGCTCCTCATCTTTGTGCTCAAATGCATGTGTGTGTTTATGTGTGTCAGGATATCCTAATTGAAGTTCCAAGGCTGCAGCATATCATTGTGGTGGATGACGCACCAACCTCATGGCCCGGATATCCACGTGGCATCACTGTCCACAACATGGCTGCAGTTCAGGAGCTGGGGGCCAGGCCTGAGAATGGTAAGTTTGTGTTTTTGTTTTACTTTTATTTGGTCACCAATAAACAGCTTCATTTCATTTGTTTTTATCGATTGTGTAGTTCATACTTGTAGAGTTATAACTATACTTTGGTATCGGTTCGAAACACTTTGTTGCTTCTAACTTGCCAGAAAAACAATTTAAACAATGTTGAAGATACTTGTTTATATGTGTTTATAATATGGAGGGACATTTCACCAATAATATAAATATTAAATTCATGTTCATTCAATGAGTAATTAATACAAAATGGTTGTTTGATGTTTTCTGGGGCATGACGAGAGAAGGTGTTATCAGAGGGGTAGCATGTAGAGAATGAACAGGAGAGGACCCAGTATTGATCCCTGGGGGACACCTTGGGACAGTAGAATGGTGTGGGAGGGGCACAGTTGTAGATGCTGATGAACTGTGGCCTCTATTTTGAGGACAGCAGTGGGAGGTGGACTTAAGATGGACAAGAACAATGTTGTGGTTGATGGATTCAGAGCAGCAGTGGTTAGGTTGAGAATATTGAGATGACCAAAGTCTGAGGAGAGACTTTGAGGTGGACAGATTATCGCACTAGGGACAAAACGTCAGGACATCTCACTATTGGTTCTGACTTGTACAAGTTATTTAAATTCCTGCAAATACTAGACTGCTGGAGAACAGAATACCTAAACACAAATGCACCAGAAGAGGTGGTTTGAACAAGTGATTTACCAAAAACAACACTGTGTTGAGCTGATGTTCATGATGATAGATTAAAACTACAATCTTTTTTTGGCATAGTATCCTGTGTATTGCTATTGTATTTGTATCTCTATAAACAATATAGAGAAGCTATTTCTCTACAAGAAAAACTGAGGCAGATAAAAAATGATCTCCGGTTTATGTGGTCTTTAAGATATTGCTTCTAGACAAGTGCCTCGTAACCATTTTCATTGAGAGCTCGAGGCCAAAGCTGCAAAAATATTAAACCCACTTGAGAGAGAAACTCTCATTCAACAAAATATATCAGTATTGACCTTCAAACCCATACTGACTATTTCTAATGCTTCATCCATGTGTTTCATTACTAATGGGGCCGTTAGGAAAATCTGTTTTATGACTACCCCATAAAGGTTTTAGCTTGTAATCTACACACACAAAGGTTTTTATTCCGGACACGGAGACAGCTGGTATCGGACCTTTTGCCCCTTTAATCATGAATATATTAGTTCAAACTGCATTTCTTTTGTAATAAAGATTCTTATTTTCCGCTTGTTGCATCAGCCTCACAACTAATTTCTGCTTGGAGCATGAATTTTGCCATTTTGGCTCCTGTCTATCAAGTGAGGTTATGTTTATTTCTAGGTGTAATAATAGCTAGAACTTTTGAAACCGTGGCTTGTTTCTTTTCTGACTGACAGCTACACTAACACGAATATAGAACATAGAATTACGGTAGTTATGTAGGAAGCATAACATTATACACAGAAGTCATCATGATAGTTACCCATGACACATACATTTAAAATGTATCCAAGAATATAAATGTACACTTAAAACTTCTTATGTTTTTTGTAGAATACTCCATCACTGCACTGCATGCTTCAGATAGCATGTATGCACTCAGCTCTAGTGGTGGTGCTCAGCCTATAAAACCATAGATGTTGACATTTCATAACTAGCCTCTTTCTTTGTCAACATGTTGAAAAGCCACATACTGATTGCTGTCTATACCATCGTGAATCTGGACCTGAATCTGAATCAGGTGTCCGGTGTCTGGAGCAAAGCTTCAGCACTCGACCCTGAGCTGCCAGGCTCTTCTGATTGAAGGTAAATGAAGGAAGCAGTGGAATTAAAGCCACCGTGGATCAGCCTTCCAGAATCAACAGAGATACTATGAGCTTATCCATTGTGGCTTCTAGCAGGGGAGTTCATGATTATACCAAACTAATGTGGGCCCTGTTAGGAGATGAGGCGATGTTGTGGTTTTATGTAAAACAAGAGCGTATTATGAAATCATTATTGGTTTATAACACATTTATAACTGCAAATAAAGGAAATTTGCTTAATTAATTTATTCACCTTTTGAAAAATCTGAAACCTGCCTTAGCCATAACATGCACACTCGCCTCCATGACCAGTTTGCTCCACTCAGTGCATCTAGCCCCACTCTAAATGGGATGGTCATGGTTTGGTTCCTCTCAGGGTCGGAGGTTGGGCGGGGGCAGATTGGTATCAGTGCCATTAGATCATGTGAATGTGGAAGCACTAACATCTGTGTTAGATTAAGGTTAATACGATGCTTATTCCCCTCCCCCTGTCTTTTATTATCCTCGCCCCTTGAACTGACTGACCCAAAACAAAAGAAGTTGGCAGTTTGTGCAGATAAAGAGGGAAGGAAGTAGGTTTAGGGAGGGAGGATGGAGCAGTGGAATACAAGGGAGGGTCATGTTTAAATATAATACTGTTAACTTCACATGACATCAGCTCTCAGAGTACACACTCCTACACGCCTAGTATTCGAGGAAGAGGAAAGAGAAAGAAGAGAGGCCCTCCCCTTGTGAGTCTAATGTCATTTACAGTCCCTTCCTCTTCTTCACGGCTCCCTTCATCCTCTGTTTGGTTTTTCAGGCCCTGCTGTGCTCAGACCTCTTAGTTCTGCTTTTGCGCCACATGATGCTTAACCGAGTGGAAAATCGAGCAGACTCTCACCCCCCCCCCCCCACACATGAGGAGTACACTGCTGCTAGACTAGAAAACCACCAACTGGTTTTGTTTCCCCCTTTAAACTGTTTGGAACTTTACTTATTTATTCAGACAGTAGGAGTCCTGCATCAGAGGGCAGGGGGCTCATTGCTCTGTGCTCTCTGGTCTACATTTACTGTATATTGTTTCAAGTGTCTCCTAGTTGTTTTTTTTACTAAACCTTGGTCTTGATTATAGCTCCCAAATGTAAGCTACGATAAGATACTTCATGCTATAACAGCCACAGGAATTATGGGAAAAATATATCCCATCACATTGTCCCTCCTGTCATAAGGCCAACTTCATCCTATCATTGTAATATTCAGAGTTTAATTGCTCACTTCTGCACTGGGAGCCGAGGCTAATGGCGGTTGTTTCTTACGGAAAGTGGTCATGTGACAGGAGCCTGACTAATCAGTGAAGACTACTAAAAAACACCCAATCAGCAAGTGGAAGTGAGTCTCTCCGTCATAGTTTCTAACATCTCTGTTTCTGCCCGTTCAGACTGAAACGCTGCAGCAGAGTTTTTTTAAACTAAAACGGGTCCAGCAGTGAACTTCCATGTTTTAGCAGCTTTAAAACTCTGGAGTAGTGCAGACACCAGGGGTATGCGTACCAGAGTTGAGGTGTTTTCAAATGAATGGATGTAACTGTAGTATTCTCCTATAGCCCGTGATAAAACTGGCCTAACCTGTGTGTAGAAAAACACAGCCCTCTCTTTCATTTGCGGGTTAGGGTGAGACTACTCCAGGTCAAGTGTTCAGCGTTTTTTCAACCATCTGCAATTGAATGGAACTGGTTGAATTCAAATGAATGAGATGGCTGTATTTTTTCTCACAGTGTTGAAGTTGTTCTGAACTTGGCCTTACTGCCTTTTAGTCTCGCATTAGGGTTGTTAAAAACAAACAGGGATAAAATATTAGAGATGATTTTGGCCTACAATGTGACAGGGAAGTCCACAGAAAACAAACACGCACAGACAACCTAAGCCGACAGCCAGGATTGGATAACCAGAAGATTACAGTGGTCCCAAATATACAGTTTTCTGTGTTTTGTTCTTGAAAAGTCCAGATAAGAAAAAATAATGATCGCGATCCTAGTGGAAAGGGACGACCGAGAGGAGAGTTAAAGCTATGAAGAAAAAACTAAAAGAAAAAGGTGAGAGAAAGATTGAAACTCACAATTGTGCCAAGAAGAGGCCTGATTGTTGAATATCACAGCAACAATTTTCCATCCCCTGTGTTTGAAAGCCTCTATTAAATTACAGACACTTAAATATTTCCCCTTCTTCCATTAAATGTGTTTGTACTGCACAAGTGCCACAAATGGAACAGAGTCCATTACTGTCATCCATCCATCTATGCTGCATATCCGTTGCACTTACGGTCAATTTATAGTCTCCAATTAACTTAACCCCAATCTGCATGTTTTTGGACTGTGAATGGAACTGAAATTAATGCAAGGTTCTAATAAGGAACCTGTATGTGTGGTGTATTGTGTTTATATAATATAATAATACATGTTAAATGCAGTTCTGTCATATTCAGCTCACATGTCCTGTGTGTTGTCTCTCTCTTCACATCACAGCCGCACGTGAGCGTAAGCAGCCGCTGCCTTCAGACATTGCAGTAATCATGTACACCAGCGGATCCACGGGCAGACCGAAGGGCGTCATGATCTCCCATAGCAACCTTATCGCTGGGATCACAGGGATGGCGGAGCGCATACCTAATCTGTGGTAGGGGCCATAAAGCATGTTGTGTGTCACATGTTATGTGCATGAAGAACATTTGACTACTTATTTCTACTTTTATAGGAAGACTGTTTGCATGAAGCACATTTCCAACTAGAATAGCAAAAGAGTGAACCAGTTCCAGTACATTTTTATTTGGATATGCATCAGAGTGCACACTCCTGCATCAATGAAAATGTTGATAAACAGATTATCCCACAATGTTAAATTAGTAGAAATCCTGGATTTGTACTAAAATTGAGTAGCTTCTTCCCTGGATCACGTCTCACCCCCCTTTACAAAATTTCATGGAAATCGGTGAAGTAGGTTTTTGAGTAATCCTGCGAACAAACGCAGACGAAAATGCAACCTCCTCGTCAAAGGTAACAGCATCTTGTTTCTGATCGAGTTTACTTATTTTTTGATCTGATGGTTCCTGATTTAAATTACAGATTTTTTTAAACATGTCCAGTTTTCACTTTGGCTTTAGTTACAGTTTAGCTGTTTACATGTGTTCAGTCGTGAGCTTCAGAGGTGCTGGCTGACTTTATGTTGGCTGTATAGCTTTAAATTTAGCATTCAGAGGTGTAGGAGGTATGTGTTCTGTTCCAGAACGTGTAACATAAACTTAAATGAAGCCATTTGACTGGTGAAGCTTTGTATGGGAGTTGTGCTTTTTTCTGGAGGAAGTGATTGCTCTGGTGCTGTTATTAACAGAATTATACACTCGTGCATTTTTATGTCTTTTGAGCAGGGAAGCCCCAAAAGTCTCTTCAGTATCTCAAGAAGAGACAAGCTGTATAAATTGCATTATATCAGCACAATGACAACATTAAGTTCCTCTTATCTACTGTTTCTCCTCTTTGGCCAAACTCCCCTGTCACTGGATGAATGCTGTAGGATGGAGACTGTGTGATAGGAGTTTGTTTAAGGACAAAATGCCAAATGCTCTTCTGTGCTAACTTCTTGGTCAGGGCTTCCGTGTCCACTGAGCACGTGCACAGGCATTAGTCAGCCAGTTCAGCGGCATCATACAGCACAAGTATTTACATTAAAAAAAAAAAACCGGTCACTGTCACTGGGGAACGAGGCAGGGGTGAGAGGAAATGCAGAGGAGACAGAACTGAGTAAGAGGGGAGGCAAAGACTGGGAGGATAGGAGGCCGGGTGAGATGGATGGAGGTCGGTCGTTATCATCACAATCACATGTCTTATTAAAAATAATGGCTTTCCTGTGTGTATTTAGTAATCCAGTTGTGTAAACCTCCTCATCACGTATGCCTTGAAGATTTATGATTCACTGGGTCATAAAAGTTTGTATAAAACTGATTTATTCAGCTTGATCAACACAGATAAGTTAGATGGCACAGACTCCTTTCATGGCTGTTTTGCTGTTTACAGTGAGGAAGACACCTACATTGGCTACCTGCCTCTTGCCCATGTTTTGGAGCTCAGCGCAGAGCTCGTATGTATTTCTCATGGCTGTAGGATTGGCTACTCCTCGCCTCAGACTCTTGCTGACCAGGTAAAGTAACACTACAACAGCACTGTTCATATTATATTTTAAAGTTAAATTTAAAGTACATAATATATTCATGAACCCTTTTCTTCTTCTTGGCCTATTACTTTTGGTGTTTGTTGGTTTGGAGACGCAAAGATGAAGTAAAGCTGTGTCAAACCATAACTTTGCTTAACCATTATTGTGATATTGTTTCCCCCCCACACAAAGTCAACAAAGATCAGGAAAGGAAGCAAGGGAGACACCAGCGTCCTGCAGCCCACTCTGATGGCAGCTGTTCCGGTATGTCAGCAATGTCTGCGAGGCATTCGCATTTGTGGTATCCCATGAGTTTGGCCCTGATTGGGAGCAGGATAGATTTATTCTCTTTGTTCATAGTCCAGCTGTGGAGTACAACATCTGTGACGGTGACGTAGATGCTCTCTACCTCCTTCCACCTGTTTTTTATCTCTAAAAAATGTTAAACACCCGGGGGCTTAAATGGCACGTTTGAGGTTGGCCAGTCTTGTTTATCTTCAAGATATATTTTAGAGATTAATCCACTCCAGCAGTAAGGACGCCAGAAAGGGATTCACTCAAAACTTAACATAGCAAGTATTTATTTTGTCAGTGAAAGAGCAGAGCGGGTGTTACACTCTGCTTAAATGCTTTATTAGTTTTGGAGGGAGTTTACAGTTAAAGGAAACAAAAAGCGGGGCATGCAGTGCTGAAAGTGAAAATTTAAGTCATCACTGTCAAAGAATTTCATCTAGTAGGGTTTCCAAGCAGCCATCAACATATTTGGATGGATTTCACTCAAAAATAAGGGGATTAAAGCTGCTGTAATTAATATTATCATAGAAAGAAGCCATCAAATAACTGTTTATGTGAAAGGCTTCGCTCACAGTGATAAGAAACCTTTTGGTTCAGTCTTGATCGTCTGATTATTCCTCTAGCAGCAGGCGACTGTTTTCAGTGAGCTCAAAAAAAAAACCAAACACTGTTCCTGCCCACAACTAAACAGCAGACTTACATACTAGCTGCTGACATCAACTTTTACCATGTTTGAAAAGTTAATTGAGACTAAATTGCATATGCAGTATATGTGTAATTCATTATTTAACTGTTTGCTAAAACGTTCACCGTATAAACCTTCTACAGTGATAGTGTTACATTTACATCTTGTTTCCTCTGCAAACCAAAGGTCCTGGTTATAATTGTATTGTTATTATTTCTGCTAATTTACAGTAGTAGGTAAATGGAAATGCATTAATAATTTAGTTCCATCATAATGGACTTTCTGAAATAAAGCTAATAAAGTTATAATCTTCACTATTTTAAGCTTTATCACAAATCATATGTATCATGTATAACTTTTTCAAATTCAAGCCTCATATAAACCATGAGATCCCAAAAATGCTCTCTTGATGCTGCTTTAACTTTTGATTCAAAGAGAAAGAAAATGGAGAAAATCATTTCAATCAAGACATTTCAGTGTCTGTAATGAGACATTACAATTCCATTGCTTATGTCAGCCAGTCTCCTCCATCTCCCAGTGGTCATAGTGTAAAGGTCAGAGGGCCCCAGTGTCTGGAACCATTCACAGCTGTAAACAGAACGTGAGAAAGCCCCATGTGGTTATCCCCACGACACACACATACACACGCACGCACGCACACTAACACACATACAAATTGTTTGCTGTGATATGACAACTGGCCGGTGCATAAATCCTGTTTTGACTTCCTCTCTCACTGCATTAGCTACACACACACACGCACAAGCGTGCACGCACACACACGCCCACACCCTCAGGGACCAGCTGGTTTTTATTGGTTTTAGTTCTTTGTGCCTTGTTCTTTTCCCCATTAAACCAAGTTCAACTTTGGACTACTCTGCTACTTTGGAAGATGAAGTGTTCTCGATATGCAGGTTTCAGTTGTCTTCACTTACGTTCCTCTGACAGAAGGAAACCTGAGAAACCAAGCGAAGTCATGGATACAACTGGAATATAGCCAGGGTACAAAATAATACCAAATGCTTTGATTGACAGTCCTGGTCTGCAGCACCATCCTGTTCCTATCACCAGCTCAGCCCATTTCATCAAGTGTATCCCTGACTTGGAGAGCTGAGCCAAATACTCACTCAAACCTGCATTCACTATATAAACACTGTTACAAGGTCCCTGCATATTATCCCCTGCCCATCATACATACATCTTGGCCAACTTCTAGTCTCTTTCAGTTGACTGTCACTCACATTCACCAGCCTACATGGTGAAGCAACAAAGCTCAGATGAACCCACTGTATTGCATGTCCAGCATTAACCAGAGCCACTTAAGTGGTTTCTATCATTGTGCAGCAAAAGAGTTAAATTTTTCTTTGAATCTGATGCCAAAACAGAGTTGGACTTGAATGCTAATGTTGCTTTTATGTTTTTGGTAAATTTTCCTCAATCTATTGGAGGGTTAAGGGCAGAGGATGTTGTTAAGCCTGTTGAGGTAAATTATGATTTGTACGTACAGGCTATACAAATTCATTTGATTGATTATTATGTGTCTGCTTAATGTTTAAGTAGTTGGTTATTTTTTTCCATTAGCAAGAGCAGGTGGGGTCCCTGGCAAAAAGGGGAATACTTACTGATTGGGACTTCTGTTCTGTTTTTACAGGGTTTTTTTGTTTCGTTTTGTTTATTATTATTTATTTAACCGACCCAGAGTTTCACTTTTGTGGATTCCTTGAGGTTTCCTCTGGTTTTGTAGGTCAGCTGTTATGAGCAATCCATTAGGGATGTTACGCTGTTATGCAACCAAATGCATGTGCTCCACATTATAATAATTATTTCCTCTTGACTTGTTGTATGGACATGTCCAACTTGTGATTTTACGATATGCTTGTTCTGTTCTTTAAACATTGTGTTCTTTAGGAACTCTCGTCCTCATAAATTTTTCTATCAGGCACATGAGACGCTGAAAATAATCTTAATTTACTGTGAGATGAGTTCAAAATTCCTTTCAGAGCTGGGACTACAGTCATTTCAGTTTCCTGTGTTTACCCATACCAATCTTTACAAAACATTTTGGGTTCAAATACATTAAAAAGTGTCACAATGGCGTCGTCCCTGCAGGACATTATATCTCTCAAACCCTTTGCTCGACAGATCCAGTCATATGTTGTCAGACTGTCAGTTTTTCTGCATTTATAATTAATCTCTGCTTCATTCCTCTTCTCATCTTATCTTCTCTAGTCTTCTTCAGTCGTGCCTTTTGTGTTTTGTTTTAGTCTTCTATTATTTATTCATTCTCATCTCAGTACATACGTATCTCATCACGTGTATCTTTCTCCGTCTCTGTCCCCATATCCAGGAGATCATGGATCGTATCTACAAGAACGTGATGACCAAGGTCGAGGAGATGAACTGTGTCCAGCGAACACTTTTCATTCTGGCGTACAACTACAAGCTGGAGAAGCTCAGCGAAGGATACAGCACACCTCTATGTGACAAGTACGTAGAGAGATGATACAGGTGCAGAGAGAGCCTTTCGAGAGCTTGTAAAAGTCAAACATTTCTTAAACCAGTAGAAGATCATGTTTTTTTTATTTTTCAAATGCACATATCATCCTATCAATTTATCCCTCCAGGTTGGTGTTCAGGAAAGTTCGCTCTCTGCTGGGAGGTCAGACGCGGGTCTTGCTATCAGGAGGAGCGCCTCTCTCCGCAGCCACACAGCGCTTCATGAATGTGTGCTTGTGCTGCCCAGTGGGTCAGGGATATGGCCTGACGGAAACATGCGGAGCTGGAACAATCAGCGAACGTAAGCTGAGGTTAAAAGGTTAAAAAATGCCAATAGGCGAGGCCCCGAGAATGTAAAGTGAGTTGACGTGTGCTGGAGTTTCGTAATTAAAAAAGGGCCAAACGTATTGAAGTCCCATGTCAGTGTTAGAATTTAAGTTAGTCGGTCATTTCAGCAGACCTGGAAAATCCTGCTGTTTACACAAACAACCCGTGAGCACAGATAAAAACTGTAGGACATGGAGGGGGGGTATTTTACTGTAGAGATGGAAAAATGGAAGGGAGGGAAATAATGAGAAGATATATTGTGTGTGTGGGGTGTAGTAAACAGAGAGGGGAGTAGGTAAACCGTTTTGAAAAAGAGGAGGCAGTGGTGTGGAAAAATCAACACGGGCAACTATCATTGTACGGTGAGGATCCAGTTAGCATCAGGGTTTTGGCCTGTTGGTAATATGCTCTGGTTGTTGTGCAAAATAAAAATCTTTTTTATTATCTACTAACAGTGGGTATAAAAAATGCCGCTCATACAGTATCACTGCTGATGAAAACTGGCCCAGTCATATGTTTTAAATTATCACTGGCTTTCAGTACCGACACATTTGAGAAATCCTCCCAGTGTTTCCCAGGCAGACCTAACCATCAGAGTGGCCCGCTGCCTGGCTCTGCACTGCAGTTATATGAGGCAGGAAAACACTGTTTTGTGGCTACTCCTTTGGGATGGGGTTTCCATGGCGAGGGAACAAGTGAGGTCATGTTGCTATGGTAATAAATGTCATGCCTTGATGCTAGCGTGCTCCCTGATCCTGTGTGTGTGTGTGTGTGTGTGTGTGTGTGTGTGTGTGTGTGTGTGTTGTCTGTTTCAGTGTGGGATTACAGCACTGGCAGAGTGGGAGGACCGCTGGTCTGCTGTGAGATAAAGCTAAAAGACTGGGTGGAGGGTAAGTGGGACTGGGAGGGGAGCTACACACACTCACTCACAGAGAATTGATGGAATACAAAGCGTCAAATGCATTCACTGGGACATATTCAGTCCTTGTTGCTTCTCTTTCTTTTCTTTCATCATCATGCAAACACATAAACCATTCGTTTGCACATTTGCCAGGTCAGTAAGACCATCAGTATTTCAGGAGTGATCGCTGTAGCTTCTTCATAACCTTGTAAGGAAAGCATACCACTTTTCTCTCTACTCGTGCACGACTTTCATCTGAGATCATAACTCATATTTATTATGCTCTGTTAAATCCGGATGCTTATCCACCTGAGTTTATTGCTTGCAGAGTAGAAATAGAATTTTGAGTAAACACGCTGTCACGTTTTTATCTACAAAAATAAATATTATTTTGCCGAGTCGAGAGAGTTTGTTTTCTTGCACTTTTCATTTGCGTTGCATCCATGTGACTTTAACACCCTGCTTTCAGGTGGTTACCGTAGCACAGACGAGCCGCATCCTCGAGGAGAGATTCTGATCGGTGGACCGAACGTAACCATGGGATACTACAAGAGCGAGGATAAAAACCAAGACTTTTTTGTAGACGAGAACGGTCAGCGGTGGTTCTGCACAGGAGACATCGGAGAGTTTCACAAAGATGGGTGCCTCAAAATAATAGGTGAGGAAAGTCGAATGGATAAATTGTGAGATACGTGGTTGTGTGGATTAGATTATGAATGCAAGGTTTGATGGACGCAGATAATCAATTTGAGGAAATGCATCCTGGTTCACATGAAATCAAAAGCACAAATGTTCAACATAGGGCCCCACGTTCTGGATTTCATCCAGACAACCTCTGTTTCCATCCATCAGCCCAGCAGGAAACCTTTTACTTCACTTCCCAGAATTACTCCACACTGCTGTTTTACATCAGTTCAGCAACAAACCTCAACTCTTAACGACCCCCCCCCCCCGTTCCCCAGCTTCCTCCCTTCTTTTAAAGAGAGACACACATATCCACACTTGTATGTGTGCAGGTGGACATACACGTTGTTACAAGTAGGTGTCTCTGTTGTGTTTCCAGATCGTAAAAAAGACTTGGTGAAGCTGCAGGCAGGAGAGTACGTCTCCCTGGGGAAGGTGGAGGCCATGTTGAAGAACTGTTCTCTGGTCGACAACATCTGTGCTTATGCCAACAGGTGTGTCATTGTTAGTGAATAAATCTACATCGTGAAATCCAGCTTTAATAACGATGCTGCTCATGCTCGTTTGTGTTCACTTGGATGAAAGAAGAAAACCCATTGAAGTAGCTGCAGTTTAGCCTCTTCTCAGTTATGTTCTGAATGTTAAAACTGCTCTCAATCATATTCTTACGGTCAGAGCAAAAACAAAAGTCATTCATTCATTAGCTTTAATGCACATCCTCTGAGGGTCGCAGGGAGCAAATCCCAGCTGGCATTGGGCAAGAGGCAGGATACACCCAGCACAAGCCATCAGTCTATAACAAGGCTGACATACAGAGACACACAACCCTTCTACAGCTACTGGCTTTTTCGAGTCGTCAATTAATCTAACCCGCATGTCTCTGGACTGTTGGAGGAGGCAGGAGAACCCACAGGCAAATAGTTTTAAATGGTAAATGGCCTGTATTTATATCACACATTCATAGAAGCATCTTTACACAGTGACACTGTCAGGGACAAGCTTAGTGCCAAGGCTACTCCTGTATAATCAGTATTACATAACTGCAGGGTTTCTAGTAAAGTGTCTGCATATATTCAGATGTAATGCAGGACCATGAATCAGCCTTGAAATGTTTGTCTGTAAATGATTACATTTGACAGACATCTCATGAGCTACAGGGCTGCATGCAGAGCACAGAATCACTGACATTGAGGCAGATTTCTCTGACAAGGTTCATTCCCTCCGTTACATAGTCAGGAAAGACTTATGCAGGTTTCAAAACTTCAAAAACAGCTTTTCAAATGTTTCTCGAGGTGAAAATGCATTCATCATTTCATTAAAGCTAAAAAAAAATCAACAGGTTATTTTAACAGTTTTATATTTGTCAGTGTAGCTACCTGTTTACAAACACGTTAGCCACATCAACTTGGTGTTCCTCTGTCCTCTAATGGCCAAAAGAACATCAGCTATTATCTTTGTCATCTTTAAATATTCTGCCTATTTTTTCAATGATTAAATCTTTGGCTTTGGGACAAAGTCTACAGAGTGTCCTGCTACTGAGCACTGTTCACCTGTTGCTCTATATTGTGTCCAATTGCATTTCTGCTGGCTCTGTCGCTTGAGTTCGATCGAGAAAGTTGATTATATTCAGATACTTTGCGTGATGGTAAGATGTTTGACTGGTTTTCAAACTGATGCTGCCCTCTACCTCAGAAAGCATTTCACACTAGAAGGCAGAAGTACTTGACCTTTCCGACTGAGAATCTCAACATATTTGTTCAGCCTGAAATGTTTATTTGGTTCAGTGTCACAGTGCAACACAAACTGTTTTTAAAAAAATGTAGATGTTGTGAGTTTCTCTCACTGTTCATGGCATGTGTTTACTTTTCCTTATAAGGGTTAGAGTTAGTATCTCACGTGGTGTAGGATTGACGGTTCCTTCTCTGTATCACACGCACTCGCACGTGCTTGACATTGAATCTGGCTCAGCTTTCACTTGCTAGAGAGCAATGTGTTTTTATGAAGACTCAGTTTGACATCTCGCCCCCTCTCCCTTTCCTGCTCTGCAGCGATGAGACATATGTCATTGGCTTTGTGGTGCCCAATCAGAAGCATTTGCTGGCTCTGGCTGACCAGTATGGTATCCGAGGATCTCGGGAGGAGCTGTGCAACAGCAAGGCCATGGAGGAGCTGGTCCTCAAGGTCATCACCGAGGCTGCTCTCACTGGTAAGATTGGCTCAAAGACTTGATCAGAGGTTGAACTTGAAGTTCTGTCCAACATTTCATCTCCATTTGTGCTGATGTTACATTTTCTCCTGTTTCAGCCCAGCTCGAGCGCTTTGAGATTCCTCGCAAGATCTGTCTAAGTCCAGAACCTTGGACTCCTGAGACCGGATTAGTAACTGACGCATTCAAACTCAAACGCAAGGAGCTGAAAACACACTACCAGGACGACATTGAGAGAATGTATGGTGGGAAATGACGGCAACGATAGGCACATCATTGTTGATTCTCAAAGAACAGACCAACACTTGACTGTGAAAAACTTCCAGTGCTCTCTCACTCCTCCCCTCTGCTCCCTATTCCACCAGTAAAAACCACAGTGACCTTAATCTGTGCTAAATCTTAATGTTCGTTAGAAGAAAGAAGGATAAGGGTAGGATGTTCCCCTTCACTGTGCACTTATTTGAATTTGCAACTTGAAAGCAGCCTGAAACAGAAAAAAAAAAAAAAATCCCGATCCACTGCTTTTCCCCTTTTTTCATCCAGGTGTGTGACCTCTGTGTAGAGATCTTATTGTTCCAGATGTGAGTTATGAAACAGATCATGTGCGAGCTGTCCTCTGTTGAACTCCTCCTGCAGAAGCTCAGGTCGTTCAGACAGGACTGTTACGTTTTCACTTTGTGCTCGTCCATGACACTCGATTGGTTGTTTAGGTCTCAAAATCCTTCACTCTTTTTTTTTTAGTCTTTCCTGCAGGTTAGGAGACGGTTAACTCTTGATATATTTGTTTTTATTTGGTTTATTTTGTCTGCCACCCGCAGTCGGACTTCGACTGGTGGGGCGTCTCTAACAACAGCACATCTTGATACCAAAAGCACAAAAGTCATTTGAGTGCAAATGAGAGCAGGTTGGAAAAACACTGCAGTTTTTATTTTTATCATTATTTACAATGTAGCTGTTACTCCTTTTTTTTTTTTTAAGGAAAATGAAACAGAATTGCACCTTAAAGGCTCATTTTAAAAAGAAAAGAAGTAAAGACGTTTATTCTACAGAGTTTTCCTACAATGATGGAGTATACTTTTGATGAGCTGCAAAAATGCACAGATGATATTATTGTGTAATCATTGTCATCTTTGATGCAATATGAAAATGTATGATTTCTGTCCAACTGAGGCAGTTGATTACTGATAGGGTGTAAAAACGTTCTGAGTGAACTTCTCAGTGCATCAGCTGAAAAATGATCACACTAAGTAAAGCGAACATCTGTTTTGCAGAACTGTCATCGCTGGTTTAAAGCTTTTTTAGCTATTGAAAGGTTCAGTGTGTAGAATTTAGTCGCAGCTGAATCCCCTCACCCTCCTCTTCTAAATAAGAAGGTGTTAACTTTGTCCAGTCTGGACTTAAGTAAAAAAAACCATGACAGCCTACGTAGAGAGGAGCTGCTCCTGCTGTAAATATAAAGTATTTAAATATAAAGGGGCCATTCTAGGATACAGAAAACAACAATTTAGATGAAAAACACAATTGAAAACCTCACTACGATTATTTAACATTAATTTTCTGCCAATAGATGCCTCTCACCTAAATCTTACACACTGAACCTTTAGGTCATCTGTATTAGTATGACAGTGCGACTGCTTAAGTTGATAAAAGCACAAACATGGCTCCAGCATTCCTCATAATGTGGCACGTGTTGCCTTTTCTTTTGATTCTCTGTCATGCTTTTCTAATTCCTTACTGACTTTTAATTGTATTTTTTTCTTTAACTGTACATATGCTACATGTATGGTATATTGAGCAGCGATCAGCCGATGTAACGCAAGTCCCTCGTTTATTTTAACTTCATGATCGTGGACCATTTTGAAGCCTCACTCGCTGTCTGTATCGAGAACCTGCCTTGTAACATAAGTGCATCCAACTATTTATTTGTAATTTTGCTTTTGTAAAACACTCAAATGAAGTAAATAAAGATTGTGTTTGGTCTACACGCAAGAGCATTTCATTATTCTACATTTTTGGCCACAGTCAGTCAAATGAATGAAGTTTAAAGTGTTGAGCACATTTAGTATTCCGACATGAAGGCAGGCAGATGATGCTGATCACCAGCTTAAGAGTGAAATCAGCCTTCACTGATACAATAACAACAATGACTGATTGGAACCTAATTCAATTTAACCACTGATGCTCACCACTCGTTACAGTTTTGAGGTGTGAATTCTCTGCTGTCAGACTCGTCCTCGGCCGTCTGGTGAAAAGGGTGAAGTTCAGTCAGACTATTAAATTAAATCTGACATTTGGAGATTATGTTCATATGGAGGTGCTGTTCATGTGGTGAAAAATATACTAATAATCAGCACCTTAATTGAATCATAGCCTATTTAAATTACATAATGTAAAGCAATAGGAAACTGAACCCCCGCTTTATTTTCTCTATGTAAGAATATAGTGTTTTACTGGCATCCTGTGAGTTGTGTCTTTGCTTGAGTTGTGTGTCCAGGAGCGCGAGTCCCTCCTAATCACACCAGACCATCGTGACATTAATAAAGTCACACGGCTCCAGCTCTGATCAGCGGGGATGTAGTCATGACACCCAGGTGGACATGCTCATTTTCACCTCTTTAAGAACACACAAACACTGTGAGCCCACGTTGGTGTATCAGCTGCACACCACGATGCTGTTAAACCAGAGCCACCACTGCACTGCAGTCTGTCCATCGTGATTTGATTCATAGGTTTTAGGTTCATTGGCAAGGAAATTGGAAAAATCCTGCATGATGAGATGAGGAGAGAAGATATTAAATGATGTGCAGAGGCTTGATTGAGAATAAGGAGATTGGTCCTATGTGTGCACATGCATCCTAAAAACTTTCAAATCAATTTTTATGGCCAGCTTCAAAATTGTTCTTCTTTCTCAAATGTATTTTTCCATCGCATCCCCGTGGAAACTTTTTCCATTGGACTCTAGAGATGATGTAATACTTCTTCAAATAGTAACTAACTTTAACATACCCATGGGATTTGTTGTTTTCATTAAGAATCCCCCAGAGGTGTCTGTGATGTTTCTTTTAACGATTTCATTTTTTAACATTAGTTCCTTCAGGGCTTCTACAGCCACAGGACTCATCTTACAATCAGTCCCCGTCACGTGACTCGTGATGACCATCCAGCCTCTCGGTATAAATAACTTGATCCGTTTGTTAGTGCTGCAAAACTCCAGAAGAGCTGCAAGAAGATAGAAGCTGAACAAGAAACTTGGCTCCTCACTTTGGTGAGTTGACACATCACAACTTTAATACTGTTGTTTATAGACTATTGGTTTGGTTTGTGTAGACTAATTTGTTTTGGGTAGACTTGTAGTAACTTTTTAAAACTACTGGGAAGTATTTCACTTTAATACGAAAAGCACAAAAACACAAAATTAAGACACAAGATACGAAAACAATATCA